ATCTAGCAGGACCATGGCAGGAGGCTCCACCAGGATCGATAAGAACCTGCGAGACGAGAAAGAACTCCGGGAAGAAGTGAAGTTAGTAACTATTTTTTACAATTAAAGTTATCTAACATTACAGTTAGCGACAGTTAGCTTCTTTTAGCATAAATCTCTCTCTCAGGACTAAACCTGCTCCCAGCAGACTAGGGATGCTTTTGTTTTGAAAAGCCTGAACCGGACGTCGCGTTGTGCTGTGACGTGTTGATCCAGCACACACACACACACACACACACAGACACACACACACACAGTCACGGCCTCTCCCGGGAACTGTTCCGTGTTTCTGCTGCTTCCATCGGCTAACGAACCGCCGGACAGAACCGGACAGAATCCGAACCCGCTCGGTTCCTAACGGCTCCGGTCGAACCCGGAAGTGCTCTTTGTTTAGCTCTTATATGAGGACGTGCTGTGTTTGCGGTTATGGGACAGAACCGCTGTTAGCGGGACTTTGAACCAGTTTTAAGGGACGCTGGGTGGAGACCGACCGCAGGCTAACTCCGCTCTTCATCAGGCTCTTCATCAGGCTCTTCATCAGGCTCTTCATCAGGCTCTTCAGCGGCCGCCATGGCGGGACGACGCTCGGCTCTCGGGCTGCTCGTCCTGGTTCTCGTCGTCCACCGCGGCGGCTCCTTCAACCTGGACGCCGACAACCCCTCCGTGTACTCCGGCTCTCAGGGCAGCTACTTCGGCTTCTCGGTGGACTTCTTCAAACCCGCAGACAGCCAGAGGTAAGAGCCGAGGAAGAGGAGGAAGAGGAAGGTGTAAAGTCTGCTGTCCCTTTAAATCTCAGTTATTATCAGGTTCTAACGACCTGTATCAATATATATATTATATTATATTATATTATATTATATTATATTATATTATATTATATTATGTTATATTATATTATATTATATTATATTATGTTATATTATATTATGTTATATTATATTATATTATGTTATGTTATATTATATTATATTATATTATATTATGTTATATTATATTATATTATGTTATGTTATATTATATTATGTTATATTATATTATATTATATTATGTTATATTATGTTATATTATATTATATTATATTATGTTATATTATGTTATATTATATTATATTATATTATATTATGTTATATTATGTTATATTATATTATATTATATTATATTATGTTATATTATATTATATTATGTTATGTTATATTATATTATATTATATTATGTTATATTATATTATATTATATTATGTTATATTATGTTATATTATATTATGTTATATTATATTATATTATGTTATATTATATTATATTATATTATATTATATTATATTACATCATATTATGTTATGTCTGTAGCTCTGTCTGTCTGTCTGTGGCTCTGTCTGTCTGTCTGTGGCTCTGTCTGTCTGTGTGTCTGTCTGTCTGTGGCTCTGTCTGTCTGTAGCTCTGTCTGTCTGTCTGTCTGTCTGTCTGTCTGTCTGTCTGTGGCTCTGTCTGTCTGTGGCCCTGTCTGTCTGTCTGTAGTTTGTCTGTCTGTCTGTGGCTCTGTCTGTGGCTCTGTCTGTCTGTGGCTCTGTCTGTGGCTCTGTCTGTGGCTCTGTCTGTCTGTGGCTCTGTCTGTGTGTCTGTCTGTCTGTCTGATCAAATATACAGTGCTGTCAGTACAGACAATACTGGTCATTGATTACAGACAGGCAGACAGACAGACAGACAGACAGGTAGACAGTCAGACAGACAGACAGGCTGTGGGACAGTGGATCTATGAACAGCTGTCTGCAGCCGTTGAATGCTGTAGCGCCATCATCAGTCCAACATTTTAATTTATCCACAACTTTAGTTTACAAACAGCTCTCTCCTCTGTCCTCTCTCTCCTCTGTCCTCTCTCTCCTCTGTCCTCTCTCTCCTCTCTCCTCTCTCTCCTCTCTCCTCTCTCTCCTCTGTCCTCTCTCTCCTCTCTCCTCTCTCTCCTCTCTCTCCTCTGTCCTCTCTCTCCTCTGTCCTCTCTCTCCTCTGTCCTCTCTCTCCTCTCTCCTCTCTCTCCTCTGTCCTCTCTCGTCCTCTCTCCTCTGTCCTCTCTCTCCTCTCTCCTCTCTCGTCCTCTCTCCTCTCACCCCTCTCGTCCTCTCTCCTCTGTCCTCTCTCTCCTCTCTCCTCTGTCCTCTCTCCTCTGTCCTCTCTCTCCTCTCTCGTCCTCTCGTCCTCTCTCCTCTCTCTCCTCTCTCCTCTCTCGTCCTCTCTCTCCTCTCTCGTTCTCTCTCCTCTGTTCCCTCTCTCCTCTCTCCTCTCTCCTCTCTCGTCCTCTCTCCTCTGTCCTCTCTCGTCCTCTCTCCTCTCTCGTCCTCTCTCTCCTCTCTCGTCCTCTCTCCTCTGTCCTCTCTCTCCTCTCTCCTCTCTCCTCTGTCCTCTGTCCTCTCTGTCCTCTCTCGTCCTCTCTCCTCTCTCGTCCTCTCTCTCCTCTCTCGTCCTCTCTCCTCTGTCCTCTCTCTCCTCTCTCCTCTCTCCTCTGTCCTCTGTCCTCTCTCTCCTCTCTCGTCCTCTCTCCTCTCTCCTCTCTCTCCTCTCTCCTCTCTCTCCTCTGTCCTCTCTCGTCCTCTCTCCTCTCTCGTCCTCTCTCTCTCTCCTCTGTCCTCTCTCGTCCTCTCTCCTCTCTCGTTCTCTCTCCTCTGTCCTCTCTCCTCTGTCCTCTCTCCTCTGTCCTCTCTCCTCTGTCCTCTCTCCTCAGGTCCTCTGTTCTGATTGGAGCTCCTCGGGCTAACACCTCATCTGACATAGTTGTGGAGAGAGGAGCAGTGTACAGCTGTCCCTGGAGGAGCTCTTCCTCCTGCCAGCAGCTGCAGTTCGACATCACAGGTACCGAAAGCTTCAGATTACTGACCCTCCACTGACCCTCCACAGCCACAGACCCTCCACTGACCCTCCACAGCCACAGACCCTCCACTGACCCTCCACAGCCACAGTGTGGCTGTAATGTAATGTAGTTCCACAGTAAAGAAGCTGGTTGCTGACTCAGTGCTCAGTGAAAGCTCACAGCTGAGACCATTGGAGCCGATTTGTAGGCGGGATGAAGAATGGGAACGTAATGTTTGTGCCAGAGCCAGAAACCTGTAGTTAACTTGATTCAAGTACAGATCACATCCAGGGTGGGTCAGGATTATATGTCCTGTGTCAGAGTCTGGCTTCAGTTCACTCTGAGATCAGATGGTGTTCTGCACTCAGTGTGAACCAGCTGACAGGAAACATCCCGACACATCCTGCTCATTATGTTTACAGTTAGGATTCTTTCTCCTTTACTGTGAAGCTGATGAATATCTGAGCAGTGTACGGCAGCAGGCAGCTGCTGGGTCACTTTCCTATGTAATGAGCAGCTTTCACAGATCGCAGTAAGAGTGTGTTACTGATGGGATAATGAGGGTTGGGCTCAGCCTGCTGCTCTTATCTCGTGTCTGGACACATTGAGGAATGTGTGGTGAAACAGGAGGTGTGTGGACTCGTCTGAGGACTGTGTGTGTGTGCTGCTCTTCCCAGCTCATTTATTGTTACAGGTTGTTTGCACTGTGTCATTGATACACTAACATTTAACTGTGTCAAATAGTTTTTCCTTTTATGTTTCCTATAATTGTTCTCGTTTCCTCTGAAATCTCGCTGCACTTTCCAGGAATCATGGTTAGTTGGTTGTGACTGTGGGCAGTTTGTTCTGGTTTACAGTGTAGTGGTTCAGGCTGATGTCTCATTAACACTCACATTTCTGTACAGCGGTGATCAGAAATGTAAGATTGTTGTGTGAACGTGAGCTCAGTGCAGAAGGAGAGGAGTCATTAAAAGAGCTCTAGTTAAAGGTCAACTCACACCTTTAATGCTCAGACTAAAAATGAACATAAATAAATAAAACCAGGAGGATGGAAACACACTGAAGTCAGTCACAAGTCAGACAGTTGTTTTATTGCTGGCAGTTAATTGACTACACCAGGGGTGCCCGTTACGTCGATCGCGATCTACCGGTCGATCGCAAAGGTGGTGTGGGTAGATCGCATGGCATTTAAAAAAAAAATATAGACGTCAGCCTATCATCCATTCTAACGTCTGACCGTTTCTGACACACCGGTCAGCGCGCATGCGCGCTTAACAGGTTACTATGGCAATTAACGTTAATTATGGCAACATTCCAGCAAGCTAGCGAGTTGCCCAGTTAGCCTAACTTATTTCTATAGCACTAAACTTAAGAAATGATAAAAAAATTAGTGGGGGAGCTGGACCAAGTAAAAAGCCCAAAACCTACCACTTCCATACGGAATGGGAGGAGGACTATTTTTTCACAATGTCCTATTCGAAGTGCGTTTGCCTCATCTGCAAATCTACCATTGCTATTCCAAAGAAGGGAAATGTGGAGCGGCATTTTCGGACTATACATAAAAGCTACAACACTGACTTTCCACCAAAAAGAGAACTGAGAAGGAAAAAGGTGTAAGAACTAAAATCCCAGTTGTCCGGACAGCAGGCCTTTTTCTCAAAGCTTACCACAAAAGCGAAGACCACCACCGAAGCATCGTTCCGGGTGAGTCACGTCCTCGTTAAAAATAAGAAATCCTTCCAAGACGGAGAGATGATAAAAGAGGCATTCGTTGAAGCAGCTGAATCGTTGTTTCAAGACTTTAAAAACAAACCAGAGATAGTATCTTCAATCAAAGCTCTCCAGCTGTCAAGAAGTACAGTTACACGTCGCTGTGAAGCAATGGCCGAAGATGTGACCCAGAAACTTTGGAGGGATATAGCGGACTGCGAGTGTTTCTCACTGCAATTGGATGAGTCTACAGACGTTAGTGACACAGTCCAGTTGTGCATTTTTATTCGTATGGTGTTTACCGATATGATTTCAAAAGAGGAGCTGTTAACAGTGCTGCCCATGAAAGAACACACACGGGGAGAGGACATTTTCAGTCTTTTAAAAACTTTATTGAGAAAACTCAGCTCCCAGTGTGGAAATTGGTGTCCATCACCACGGATGGTGCGCCCGTGATGATTGGCCGCTCAAATGGATTTATTGCCAAGTGCAGGGAGGATGATGCCTTCCCCGACTTCCTCAATTACCACTGCATAATACACCAACAAGCGTTATGCGCAAAAATGCTGAACATGAAAGAGGTTATGGATGTGGCAATGAAGATCGCCTGTTCTATTCGTGCCAGATCTCTTCAAAGACAGCTGTTCCGTGTGCATCTGGAGAAGGCAGACTGCGACCACACTGAATTGTTGCTACACACTGACGTGAGATGGCTTAGTCGAGGGAAATTCCTGCAAAGATTTCGAGAGCTCTGTCTGGAGATTAAAGAGTTTCTCCTTGCATCTAAACATGCAGAATACACCCAACTAAATGACGATCAGTGGCTACTAGACTTAGCATTTTTAACCGATCTGACCAACATGTTGAATGACCTCAATGTTGTGCTGCAAGGAAAAGACAAAACAGTGGTCAATATGATCAGCTCAGTTAATGCGTTCAAACGAAAACTGCAACATCTGGGCTCAAAGCTGCAGCGCCTTGGTTTGGCAAACTTCCAGAACCTCGTTTCAGAACTGGAGAGGCAAGGGAAGCCCTGTGTGCAATTTGACAGTGGATGCTACACAGAGCAGATTGAAAACCTTCTGTCAGACAAACAAACGGTTTCAAGACTTGCTTTATTGGAGCCAGTCGCTACATTCATGTGCTACCCATTTCGGGAGGATGCTGATGTTGATTTACTCGCATCAGAAATTGCAACACTGTTTCACCTGAACTCGTCTGGAGTGGAGGATGAGATCCTGACACTACAAGCTGACATTGAACTCAAGTCCAGGGTTCATGGGCAGTTTTGAAACTTACTCACAGAGGAAAAGTACCCCAACATGAGGAAATGTGCTACCTCCTTGACTGCATTATTCGGCTCTACTTATTTATGTAAGTCAGCCTTTTGCCACATGAAGATTATCAAGTCCAAATACCGTTCCACTATGACTGATGATCATTTGGAAGTGTGCTTGAGGCTGGCTATCAGCAGCTACTGTCCGGACTATGCATCCCTGGCTGACTCCATTCAGTGCAAGCCATCAGCGTGAGGTATGTACTCAGTATATATAATTAAATATATTTACTCATAATGACACTTAACTTAAATGAGACACAACATAAAGTGCTTGTCCACCTCAACCACTTTTTACATACCATCTAGCCGGCAAGTGTCTGGGGTTTGGTTATTAGTACAGATGTTGGGTTGAAACATGGTAAGGGAAATTGTATTATGTTTGCATTTGTGTTACATTAGATCTGGAAGGAACATTTTCCGTTTGATTAATTTGTGTGTTTCTCACCTCTTGTCTAGATTGCACCCAGGAACTGTCAAACCAGTCCCCGCCCAGGTGGACTCCTTTTATGGTCAAGTTCCTTGGGGAATGTGCCAAGTGTAGTATAGATGAGGGGGAAATTTAGGAGGCGTTTGGGAGATTTGTGATTTTTTGAGATTTTGAACAGTGTGCGTCTATTTTACTCTTTTGATATGTGTTGTGAGTTCTTTCTACTGTTATACCTATAAAACTTAACAATTTGGTATTAGATAAATGAATGTGTTATTGTTGTTGTTATCTTAATTGTTGCATCCTGTGGTAGGAGGAAGTTGCCAGGGGCCCCAGTTTAAAAGGGGTATAGAGATCAGAGTTGAGGTTATTTTTGATACCTCTAGTTACCTTTTTCCTAAGTTGTTTCCATTTGTTTTCATTTTTATTTTGTTTGTTGTTTTCTCTTCAGTTTGGGTCAAGCTGACCCTCACTGTAAATAAGCTGCACTGATCCACTGCTTGGAAAAAAAGGGAAATAAAAATTTGGACTGACTGAACAGTTTCAAGGTCCCTTTCTTCCTGCCTTCACTTATGTTTAGCAGTTTTTAATGTAGGTAGATCAGTTTGACCTGGTCATTTTGAAAGTAGCTCACAAGCCGAAAAAGTGTGGGCATCCCTGGTCTACACTGTTATTTCCACAGGGTAGAGAGCAGCTTTATCAGTCACACTGGGTGTGGGTGTATTTCCTCATGATAAAGGTTTAATCCAGCAGCGATGAAAGGTGCTCTGTTGAAACACCAGCTCCTGTATTTCCAAACCACTCATTCTCTCAGTGACAGTCTTTCATAATGAGCCCCTTTATGGTTCCCTGTGTTTTACCGACAGGCTGACAGCCAGTGGAGGAGAGCAGGAACAGGCCAGGGCTGTATTCAGTTGTCCCCTCGGGGGGCAACAACGGATTGATGCCCTGGTGAGGGTGATGCAATGAGTTGTTGTGCATTAGATAGAAATGTAGACCTTATGGTGGCGGTGAGTCTGCGAGCTGTTCCAGAGGTTTAAGACTGCATCTTAAACAAGTGCAGGAATTCAATAAAAAGAATAAAAACAATTAGAAGTTTGATGTTACTGTGATAAAGGCAGATAAACTTCAACTCTGATTTAAGTTCTCTAAATAATCTCTGCTGCAGTTTATTGGTTCGTACCAACAGAAACACTGAAGAGGAGAGTCGTAGGATCGTACTCACCAAAACGTTACAGCGTTCGATTCTTAGAGTGACAAGTTGTGTTTATTGTTTAATGTTTAAGATCAGCTGACAGATTATTTAACACAAGTACGGAGGAGAGTCAGGTAACAACGAGGGTTTCTATCGCCCCCTACAGGGCTGCTTTCTCTCTGCATCCTCCACCTTATCTGATGTCCTTTCTTTGAATTGAATTTAATAAATAGGAATGTTAATATCAAATGAAGGAAAACTATAATGTAAAAATGTAATTAAAAAACAAAGAAGAACTTATGTCAGTGATACAGTAAATTAAATTAATTAAATTAGTTATTTTTACACTTTTATGTTACATTTTCTCTTAAAACCCGTTTTACTGTTCATATTTTTAACTATTAACCTGCTAAATTCGACTCTTTTTGCACATTACCTTGAAACATTGCACATGTCCAGTTATTCACAGATATATTATGTATATATTAGCGTAACATATTTATTTGGTTTCATTTTGCACTATATTTCTCTGTGCTGCTATGCCAAATGTGAATTTCCTCTACAGGGGATCAATGAAGGATCATCTTATAGATAGATAGATATTCATTTATTTGTCCCACAATGGGGAAATTCAAATTTTACAGCAGCAACGTGGATAGAGAAAAAACAGTATAAAAAACAGTAAGAGTATGGACATAATAAAAACACTATGTACAAGAGAAAAAACTAAGAATCCACAACAACAGATAACACAAATAGTAGCAGCAGTTGCGCATGGGCAATAGATTGCACAGTGAATATGGTATGGTATTATGTTACTGTTGTTGTAAAACAGTGGATTACATTTAAAAAACTTAATGTAATATATAATAATAAGTTAAAGGACACAATGTGTTTGCAGTCACATATATAAACAACGAGGACACTGACAGACACTTTTAATAAAAACAGATTAATCACATTAAACCAAAGTCATTCCACATTCGTACTGAATATCAGCTGCTATTGATCGAGCTCATGTGAGTTTGCTCAACATGAGTTTCTTTCTGTTCTGTTATCTTATAAAAGGATGTTTATCTGGTCGTAGCTCTCCCTCCAGTCATTCGCTGCCTGCGGTTCCAGGTCTGTTATGTCCATAAAAGGTGAATTTGTCTCAAACAGCCTCAATAAATCTGCTGAAGTCAACACATTTTTACAGGATGTGTATATTTCAGCAGCATTCAGTTCCCAACCAACCATCTGCCCTGCTGAAGTGCCTCTGAGCAACAACACTGTAAGACCTCCCAACCTCTGAATAAAGGAGATAAACCAACTCATCAGTGAACTGTTGTTTTAACTTAAATGTGTTCAGTATTTTAAGTTCAGGAGATATAATTCCAGTTTGACTCATTTCCTTTAAGTAGACTTTATGTTAGCATTATAATGCTATATAGCTTAGCATTTTCTTTCTATCATAATCATCATAAGCTCGAGTATGCATTCAAATAATTCTTAATGATTCCCAAAGTGTAAAGATCTGATAGAAAGTAATAATCTGCTTTAGAGGAAGAAGTCACTAACTGAACCTGGTGGTAACATTTAAGGGACTTTATTCAGATCAATTCTGTTACTTCATTTACTCAAATTACCTCAATAATAAATGGTTTCTTTAGTTAATACTCAGATCAAACATTGTTTATATCTTTTTAGGTTTTACAGGGAAGAAACTTCAACAATGAAGTTGTTCCCTGCGGCTGTAATGTTAGTGAGTGGCCTAGTTGTGTGTGTGTGTGTGTGTGTGTGTGTGTGTGTGTGTGTGTGTGTGTGTGTGTGTGTGTGTGTGTGTGTGTGTGTGTGTGTGTGTGTGTGTGTGTGTGTGTGTGTGTGTGTGTGTGTGTCCCACAATAGAGCTCTTTGTTGTTGTTGATCTGACCTACGTGTTTGCTGTCCAAAGCTTTGCTGGACCACAGAGCAGAATTAACTGGAATTCTTCAGTGTGTGTGTGTGTGTGTGTGTGTATGAGTGTGTGTGTGTGACTCTGACTCAGTGTTTTTCCGCCCTGTTCCTGCTGTCAAACCATGATCCACCACAAGCTTTTGTTCCGGTTTTTATTTCGGCCCGTGCAGGATTATATCTGTCTGCTGGGACAGGAAGTGAGTGACAAACAAGGATATAAATACGAGTCAGACCCACGATGTTATAAATCCACCATCACTGCTCTCTGATTACAACTTCAGTGTTTCAGCCTGTGTGTTGAACTGATCGACTTTAATAACTCTGTATGCTGAGCTCCTTACATACTGAGATATCGGCCTATTGTGGATATTTTAAATGTTATACCACGCCTTAAAATTAAGAAGGCCTCGCGACCCCCTGTGAAGCTTTGGCGAGCCCCAGCCACCACCTGGATAGAGAGAGAGTCTGTGTACTCCCTTGTCCTGTGTAGCTAGCTAGCACTAGCACAGTAATATATGAACTATTATCACTATCTGCTCCAATGGGCTCAGCTAATAATCCCCAGATGAAGTCAGTCATAATTCCCATTGAAGAACATGAATATTTCCCACGTTGTCCTGAGATTGTCTAGAAATCAGGATTTACAGACACTGAAGCTGCAGTGACTGCAGCCGAAGCTCAGAGACAGCGAGGCAGAGCGCAGTGACTGCAGCCGAAGCTCAGAGACAGCGAGGGAGAGCGCAGTGACTGCAGCCGAAGCTCAGAGACAGCGAGGTAGAGCGCAGTGACTGCAGCCGAAGCTCAGAGACAGCGAGGCAGAGCGCAGTGACTGCAGCCGAAGCTCAGAGACAGCGAGGCAGAGCGCAGTGACTGCAGCCGAAGCTCAGAGACAGCGAGGGAGAGCGCAGTGACTGCAGCCGAAGCTCAGAGACAGCGAGGCAGAGCCCAGTGACTGCACTTACTGCAGGTTAACTCCCCAGTCCCAGCACTTGTTTCATACAGGAAATTAAAACCAGTGTCACTGTTGACAGACCTCCCAGCACAGTTATCTCTCTCGTGGTTTATGGACATAATGAGTAACAATAAATATTCAGAAAGGTCGACCCTTGTGTTTCTCTTTAGATACCACCCTCAGGCCTCAGGTATTATTAACTATTATTTGTTCATACAATGAGCATTACGGCCTCAGAGAGCTGCTGTCATTGCTGTAGACTGTTGACATAAACTAATTTCTTTGGTTCAGGGTTAAAGTCCTCCATTCGCAACAAAGAGTCTGTCACCAAGGAGAAGGTGTCATTAGCATGGTGACCAGCTGGCACAAACACTTGGCATCATATCCGCCATGATTACAGATCGGACATAAAACATCTGAAATGAACCCCTTTGTACCCAAACACTGGAGCCAGAGAGAGTCAGAGGACTTTAAATTCAGCCACAGCCAACATTTGTCATCGGACTGGAGTTTCCCAACCTGATGGGAAAATCCCCAACATTTCCTCACTCTCTGCACACAACATCCCCGACCACGCTCTAATATTTATCTGCTTCTTATCGCTCTGTTCTGTCTTTTATTCCAGCAGCACTCAGAGCTCGGTGCTGTTCTGTTGTTGGTATAGCCCAGCTTGAACAATCAGAACAGGGAAGCAAAATAACCAGATGTTGAATGACAAGTCAGAGTTATTTATTTTAAGGAAATTAGAGATTTTTTATTCTACTTCGTTTAAGAATGCTTGATTCTGATTGGCTGGGAGGAGGGCATTAACCCGGCAGGTTGCCCGCTGACTGAGCACAGCGTCATCAAATAGTAGATCAATACGCCGCTTGTATTTTTTTTCTATCACAGAAATTTCAAACATGAGGTCCATTGTAAAAATAAACCTTGTTTAAAAAAGTTTCTAAAATGTGTCGGAAATCTATCGGAGGGTCAGTCGATACATAGTTTCGCAAACGAGATACAATGTAGCAACTATGTTATTAAACTAGTGATCAGATGCAGCCTTGTGTGGTTGCTATAGAAACTAATTAGCTACAGCTGAGCTAACGTTATTCACCGTAGTTCTAAAGGGACTACTTTTTGAGGGAGATGAACTCAGAGTATACATTTAATAAGCATGCAATACGAATAAGAAAAAGCATAATTATTAAAGTATTTTGTTTTATTATGTTGGCAAGCAAGAAGTAGAATAAATGGGATAATCACCTCAAGGCAGGGCATACGTCTCGGGCGGTAACCTTCCACGAGCCTGGGCATATCAAACTGTTTATTGCCCTGCCTGAGGTGATTATCCCTTACATATAGAATGAAAAAGGTGAGCAAACAGGGCGGATGGGTGCTGTTTAAATTAAAGAAACAAATAAAACCAGAAGAGAACTCGAGGAGCTAAAACTGTCGGGCCGTGGTGGACACGCCTCCTCCGTAGCAGCCAATCGGGCACCAGGGAAAGACACTAGAAGAGATTTCTGTGTATACAGGACGACATAAAACAATAGGAGAAACAAGGGCAAACAGAAGTTGAATAACTTTCGATCAGTTCCAACCGGGACAAGAGTATTGATCTTTAAGGTGCTTTGTACAAAATTTCAGGTAGTCGGAGCATAAAAATCAAAAGCAGATCTTCCAAACGTGTTGTGAACTGGAGGACCTTGAAGTAAGCACCACTCATTAGACAAAAAGACCCTTAAACAGATACAGAATACTTATCCAGCTCTCAGAGTTATACAGGATGCAGTGTAGGCTTCCGACCGTTGTTCATCAGGAGTTAACTGTCTGAACCGTGTGTTCGACTCTCATTAATACAACTTGTATAGAGAGATCTGAAACTGAAGCTTTTTCATCACCGGAAACTAAACTAAACTGTCCACTGAAACCAGAAGTTCTGTTAAATTAGTGGTAATTTATGTCCTAAAGTTACTACATTTTATTCCCTCAAATTAGTCATTTGTGTCCTCAAGTAAGTAATTTGTTCAAGAGAGAGAAGAGACACTTTGAGAGTAACTAAAAGGTTCCTTCAGTCCAC